ATGTAGGCGACCAAGGTAAGGAAACTGAAATAACAGAAACTCTTTTTGGCAGCTCACCTTCTCTTTACCAAACTCACACTTCCTATGAGATATTAACCAAGTTCACTGAGGGGGTACAGGTATTAATTTCACTGGAAAAGTGCAACTTATTTCACTCTATATCTCAGCTGCCCCCCTTTTATCCATGAATACAGATTTTCAAATGCCTACCAGAATATAACAGTAAATATCAAACAGTAGATACAACTGACTCCTGAACTATTTGGAGGGTTGAACAAGAAATGAAATCACTGGGTTCTTCGTGTCATTGCTTGACAGAGAATTGGGGGGAATTACACTAGCTGGTGTAATTATATGAGTCAGACATAACACAGACACACACACTCTAAGAGAGCAAGAATGTAAGATAGATAAATACAATAAGAGAAAAATAATATTATTGAAGCTGCACTTTCTTCTCACTCCTATTATGACTTATCCTTGAAATACAGCAGCAGTACACTTGGCATGGCGCATTTTTTTGACACAAAACATGGATGACAAATGCACTTTGAAATCTAGAGTAAATTAAAGCAAGAAGGCCACCATACATCCTCAGGCTAAAGCAGTGATTGATTCGTGCCGACTGATTGATTGACTGGTTGAAACAAGCAGTGAGTTGGCATTTTCTGACATCCTTGAAGAAAATTAGTGCAGACAAAGCCTATTTTTCAAGCACCTTGAAGACACTACTGATTAAGTCAAATGCTGCCCCTAGTCGTGTATACATACATAACCGGAGAGAATCTTCCATCACACAAATGCACAAGTTATCAAAGTTTTGATGACAGAGTGGGATTTTCTCAATGACTGCACAAGGAAAATGCACACGTCAAGCACTTTTGGGCAGTTTTTGTCAAGTGTCTGTTCAGGGGATGGTGTGTGTGTGTGTGTGTAACCATTACAGAGGTTGCTTCCTAACACTGGCTGTGTTTGTCATTGTTAGAATGGTTTGGCATGCAATTATGGGTAAAAAAGTTTAAAATAAAGATGCTGATTGGTCTCTTTCTGTACTTCTGTATGACATTAAATGTCATACATACTTAAGGGCTGTATATAGTGTTACTACTGGGCACACTGAGTACCATGGCTTTAGTGTTCAGGAAATTGGTGTTCTCTCTGTCCTTTTCCTGAGCAAGAAATAACCCTTTTTCCACTGGAAAAAATATATAAAAGCAACAGTTGAAGCAAATTGAGCTTTTTCCATTAGAAAAAGTGAGGATGGGTCATCCTGTGTACGAGGACTGCACAGCAGGTATTTTCTTCAGCTGTTCTTCTCCTTTCCTTCTCTTACTTTTCATTAGTTTTCATTTGATGTCAATTATGCAATTTGTTTTAGATTATATTTATATAATCTAAAAATATAATCTAAAATATATATATTTATATTTTAGATATACATTTATTTAAAAAAAAATCCCCTCTTGTCCCTGTTGTCCTTCAAGCTTGGGTCCTCTACCAGAGGTCTGGGAGCTTGAGGGTCCTGTGCGGTATCTTTGCTGTTCCTAGAACTGCGCTCTTCTGAACAGAGATCTTGGCTGCTATTCCTGGGATTTGCTGGAGCCACTCGCCTAGCTTGGGGGGTCACTGCACCAATTACCACTGGGACCACTCGAGCTCTTTTCTGAGCCCTTGGTACTTGTCTAGCTTCTCCTGTTCCTTCTTCCTGATGTTGCAGTCATTAGGTATCGCTACATCTATCACTACAGCCGTTTTCCTTTGCTTTTCCACTACTACTATTTCTGATTGGTTAGCCACCTGGAAGTCCCAGGATCTTAGCTCGATCATTCTCGACCATCGGATGTCTCCCATTTTGACCTCGGGACTTCCAGGCCATACTCGGCACAGATGTTCTGCTGGCAATTTGGTTATGATGTTCCATGTATGCCCTGCCTGCTAGCATCATGCACTTATGTGCTGCTATGTGCTGAATTGTCCCAGCGGTATCTTTACACAGCATGCACCTGGGATCTTGCCTGGTGTGGTACACCCCTGCCTCAATGGAGCTTGTACTTGGTTGCAGCCATCTTCTTGATGTACTTGTGGATGTTCATTGTCTCCTCCTGGACCGTGGTACTGATACTCACTAGCCCCCCAGCATCCTTCCTTCCACTTAGCTCATATCCGAGGTAGGCTTGGTTAGCATGGGGGGTCTAGCTCGGGGACCCTTACTGGATACAAACGCCCTGATTGGGAGTCGAACTCACGACTCCTGTTTCAATGGCTTGGAATGGTACATACTATTTTTATCTTTTTCTTTCTTTGTTATTATTTCTTTGTTTTTTTAAAAATGTATTGCCACCAATTGGATCACATAGACAAGCAAAGCATTTTTTGGCCATGGCAACTTTGGAAAATTCTAAAGGAAGATGCATATCACGTCTTAAATGTCACACTTCGCTGGCAGCCAGCCCCGAGGTTGTTGATTTCCAAGCTCCACGGGGCACTATGCCGCTGACCGCAGAGGTGTGGGTGGGATACAAGGTGGAAGGAGGAAAAAAGTGTTTCTTGCGTTTGCCAGCTGCTCCTTTAGCTCACACAGAAGAAACACACAAACATGCACATACATCAATCTCTTCTGTCACAGTTTCACTGCCTGTCACCATGGTGACACCCTAAAGCTACAGCTGTCTGACAGAAGACTGACTGAACTTGCCGTGATTTGTGTATTTTGTGGATTTGCATAGGCTTATACAAATACTCTCGCAACTTCAATTGGCAATCAGCTGAAAAAACGCAGAGTTTTTCACCTCTTTAGGTCAATTGTTAATAACAATCACAGAATTCATCATCCACTTCCTCTGTGGATGCTGTGCAATGATTAGAATTTCATTCAAATATGAACACGTATTAAAACAGATGTTGTTTTCCTAACATGAAATTATTTTCAGAACTGCTTCAGGAAATGTTTCACTCTTCTCTTCTCTTCTCTTCTCTTCTCTTCTCTTCTCTTCTCCCCTCTTCTCTTCTCTTCTCTTGCTCTATCAGACCCTTGCCCCAGGCATGTTTTTTTTTCTGAGTGACATTCACTGGTGGCACATTTAAAGCAGGTTAATATTGATCTGGGCTGAGCAGGTGATGGGTTAAATCGATTATGTATGTGACAGCCCTATTTCCTAAACTTGTAAAGCTTACTAAAGAATGCCTCCAGTCAAACAGAAATAAACAAGATGAAAATGCACAATTTTGCAGTAGTATCAAAAAATCTGTGCATTCAGTAGTGACGTGAGAGACTTCTGGAGATGGCAGAGACACTAAATGGCAGCTCTGAAATGCATGAACTAAATCATAGAGTCTTCCTTTATCAAAATGAAATGTCTAACTTTGATAATCCACAGTTGGAAACGTCAAAGGAAGATTTGATTGAGATGTTATATTCAGCACTTTATCTGGGTGGGTACTGTGACACAGAAATAAAAAAAAA